ATGTTATGGAATATTTTAATTACGAAGTTACAATTATAATATATAATATATCTATAATTATAAAAATAAATAACTCAAAATATGAAAAAAAAAATACTACCTATCGAAAATTGCAACTTAAAATACATCATTAGTCGTTGGATTAAAGACCGTATATTTTAGATTCAATAGATAGGTACAATAATTAACAGTACGATTTTTTTTTTTTATTATGTTTTATTCAATCTTTTTCAAAGGAGAACAATAAGAATAATTGATGATAGAAGCTAAGATAAAAATAAAAATAACGATTTTTTTTAAATTCAGTTCTTGCAACAATTATATGTTTTTGAGTTTTAGTTCAGTAAGAAATTACGAGATAAATKTTTTTATAAATGTAATAATTTGTTTTTACCTGTAGCCATAAAGTAATGATACTGCCTCATCCACACTTCTGCTACACTTGCGAATTTTTTATACGCAGCCATCCAATCCAATTTAATTGCATACATGAAACCTAACTCATGTAAACACAATGTTTTCATACTTACAAAAGAATTATCAACTACAACGGTTGATCCAATCTCGTACGCTCGTATTGATCGTTCTAAATCACCCTACGAGTATAAATTTACTGACACGATCAATATTTAATGAACTCAATAACTTAACGTCAATTTACTTAATGTCTAAATATAGTCAATATAATAGACATGAATATCTATGATAAAATTAAAGCCAATAACTTCTACTTAAGTTATATAAATATAATATGTATTATGTTAAGCTTACACAGTCTTACAGACTACAAACCTTGAGATAATGCGATCGCCCAATAAAGTATTGCAGACATGTCGAGTTTAGGAACTCTTCAGGTGGATTACATACTAATTGTTCCGATTCCTTGACGTAAGTTTCRTCTTCTCGAGATTGTGGACCGTCGAACAAGTAATCTGTGTTTCCCATCATGTGATACCATGAAAGGATCAACCTATAACAAATAGATATTTACACAATCGTTTAGGTCAGCAAATACGTATTTCTGCCACCCTTGTGACTCTTTAAATCGGTCTTTAGTACCCATGCATATTATGTAAGTATATTGGATGGTTTTTTAAGAAGGCCAACTTATTAATTGCTTAAATTATACATTTATATTTAAGTTCTGATTTTTGTAATTTTTTTATTTTAGGTAGGTACTTAAAGACTTAAAGTAATAGTCTAGAACTCTTTTATTGAATATTTTTTACTTCATTTAATTTTTACTACACGCAACTATRATATCATCAAGATTGTAATTGGATTTCACAAACCTATATAATCTAGAGTATCTACATATACGCTCTACATAATATACTCAACTATATAATACATTTTAATTTTAAAGTGTTGTCACATTATGGTGCATTTATTAATTTTTACCTTTAAAAATAATCCTATAAGYACATGATGTATTATTAATGRTACCTCATTAATTTGTTGTACATAAAAGGTTTCGAGTGTGTTATACTGTTATCTCATTATTGAGGTGTAGGTTACTGTGAATTGTGATGGATTTGTTAAATTTTAAATCAATGATAAATGTACGAAAAACGATTCTGAGTGAGAGGCGTCGTTGATTTATTTCTAAAGATACCTATGAATGCTTAAGTTGTATTATAATATTTATGTTATTTTTAATTGATTGGACTGAACTAATTGAAGTTTTATTTTTAAATTACAATAAAAAAATAAACAAAATCGATTTAGAGTTGCAAAAACTAAACGTTTTACAATAGCAACATTTAAGATGAAATCAAATTTTTAATACATAACAAATATATTCTGCCTCGAAAGAGAATAATCAATCAGCCGACTGATTTTGCGTTCAATCAAGCTTGCGCACAAAATTGTTAGGTATAARAATATCAATTAAAATTTGTCGTAAATAAATCAAATAAAAAATGTTTATACCAAGTATATGCACAAATATGATGGTAAAATTAAAATAAAACTCTTGTGGCTTTAGATTATGAGTGAAGCAAAAACCTACTACAAACATTTCAATAGCCACCTAGCACATCATAAGAATCCCATAAYATCCAAACTTTCATCTTTCATCTGCTTCTATGCTAGGCAACCCGAATAAAATACTTAAAAGACAGTGGTGTCGTGACCTGCAGCTAGCCTAACAAAGATTCTTTACTACGTCGTAGTAGTACCTATACCTACGCTGGGAGGCTTTTGCAGTCTGTCCAATCTGTATTTTTATTTATTTTAGCATTATCATCAATTGTTCTTATTGTTTTTTTTTTTTTTTGAAACAGATTGAATGAAAAAACTTTTTTACCAAAAAAAAAGATTATGAGTGGATTCGTAATTTTTAATATTATAGTTTGTATGATGAATAAAGAGAGTAGTCAAGCATAGATTTTAATTTTTGTGATTGGTATATAAGACTTTTTTTATTGATATTGAAGATGCTGGTTATTGTTAAGAGTTCAATACAAAAATTTCTCAGAAGTTTTCAAAAGCGTTGGAAAAAACAATAGAAAAATAATTACGTGCGTACCTTTTTTTAGTAAAAAAAAAGTTATAGCATTACAATTTAGTACTTTAGTAGTTACCATGCTAACGGTGCGTGTACGTCGGACCCGTTTTTRGCAAACGCTAAAGCTTCTAAACCGGTTCGGCGATTTCCACGAAACCCCAACATCCCGATTAAAGGGATTACCATTGGCGACATTAATGATAACATCAAATTAAAAGCTCCATATCCCACACTGACCGCTGCCATCAATCTAACAACGTCCTTAGACATCCCGTTTGATACACTATATGAAAAAAACAACAATATCTTATACGTACTCAAGCATATTATTAAAAAAAAATTTTAAATTAAACAAGTTAATAGTATTATACTAGGAAGTACCTATATAAGTATTTATATACTATTAGATTGTAGATTTTAGACAGATAAGTTTGGTTTTAAGACAGTAAGCAGAGGACCATGAACTAGATGTTTTAAATTATCTTAATAAATACATGTAAGGAGTTTTMAATCATTAAAAAACACTATTACTAGTTGCTATACCTATTACTTTGACTTTGATTATTTATTAAGTTAATTTGTTTTTAAAAATATATGAAATAGTATGATATAGTATTTTCGATAATCGTCTGGTTCACAAAAAAAAAAAAATCACTGTAGGTATATATTGTTTAATATTATTAATATATTATTTCACGTGTACCAATCTTGACGTAAAGTTACAAACGACGTGGTAGCCGAGCGATGCATACGACTTCCTATGTTTGACGTCGAAGCCAACGAGGTGGCAGACGTGGATTGTCTGCGTTTCAAAACTGGCGGCCACCTTGGAGTGTTGTCGTCTGGTGRACACAACAAATAAATCACAATAAATACTAGTGAGCGAAGTCCCAAATCGCAATGGGTATTACAGCAGGTATAGGTCACAGTTATCAACAAGCTGTTTTTAGAATTAGAAGATATAAGATATAAGCAGCTACTATAAAGTCCGGTTCACAGCTACGTTGCGTGTCGTGTCGCGCGAGCCGTTAGGGCGTAGTAACTATGGTTATAACTGGTAACCATATTGGTTTAAAAGTTGAGCCGTATTCAATTCTTGGTATCCTCGGCTTTAACTCGGTTATACCATCATACCAAAAGTTAAACGTTCAATTAGAATGTGGTTTGATCGACACGACGTAGCTGTGAATCCGGTTCAATAATATGGTATGTATACATAGATAACCGTGGTACAGGTATAAGTATCGAGTAAAAAAATAGTGGTTAACTCGCTGACCGGGGTCCAAGTCGTAAACGGTGCGGTATACGTCCAGCAGAGAGGCATAACACTGTTGGTACATTTTCCAGGCACGCCGCAACGTGTATACCGTTTTGGCGGTGGCCATGTGGCCCACATTGTACCCGTTCATGACCTTGACGACCATCAGTCCGACTATGCACAGGGTGACGTCGGCCAGCGCGATCTGTCCGTCGTAGTGGTCCACGCCCGCGGTGGCGGCACCGGACGAGAATTGTAGTTTGCGCCTGAACGCTCCCAACCACCCGCCGTCGTCCAACATAGCGCCRCATCGCGCCTCAAGTCGTTTGAACTCGACCAGCGCACATTCCAATCGCGACTTTTCCGGCGCTTGAATGGCCGTCTGCGGTAAACCCAGACAAGTTATAGAGATTAGAGAACGTAATAAAGATGGCGACGAATCAATTAAGTGGCGTGAGCGTGCAGTGCTGGTTATTCGCTACGTTATTTTGTAAAAATAAGTACATACCTGCAGCTACTAAATATATGTTTTGACTTTTGAGGATTTCGATAATTTATAAAGGTCGGTATATTTACGTAATTTTTTTTTAGATTCAACTGTATACTTATATAATTATTTATCAACATAAAAATCGTTTAAAATTAAATTATTTAAATTATTGATGATTCATTAAAAAAATTAGTGTACAGTTAATTAATACAATCTTGCATTAAGTTTATAACTGTATTCTAAATATATTTTAAGAAATGCATTCTTATTTGTATTTCCTCTTCATACATATTAAAATATTTAATTAAATCTCAATAATCATTATGCCACTGTAATATAATATATAGTGTATAATTTAAGTTTGTAACATGTAACACTCTACTACCAACACAAGCTCTGCTTAAATATAATAAAAATAACAATGTTTTTTATTCAAATTAAAAAAAAAAATTGCCTACTTATCAGTCAGTCCTCAAATATACGTAAAGTTTGGTTTGATCGTACGAAAAATATTYTTAAATCTTGAACTCTTTTTCGAATATTATAGTATCATTTTTATTTAAAGAAAATCTTTCTATATTTATCAAGGTACATGTTACATTCAAATAATGAAAGATAAAATATTAAACGAGGCATTTCGAAACAATAATATTATTGCTTCAGCTACAGAATTCACAGCTATAATTGAGCTAAACTATATAAACCTTAACAACTATTTGTTATATTAAATTGTTTCTTTTTATCGGTATTATGTTTAATTATGTTTACTTTTATTAAAAGTTTACTTGGGAGTCAATAATATTATATATTTATCAATTATTATTACACTTTCAACCTCAATTGATTTATAATATACCTACACATGTAGAGGTTTGGGTAAGTATTAGTAAAATTAACTTACACCTTTAATGCTTTAACTAATCTCAAATGTATGAAAATTTTAAAATTTATAAATGTTGAATTACATAGGATAATATTTAATATTGAAGCAATGTAGCTAGATGTGGGTATTATAATATTGCTGACTAGGTAGTAGGTTCTGAGATAGACGATAGTCGATAGACACATGCTTTAGATTCCGATTACGAAGTGATGAATGCATTGATTTTATAATGATGTGTGTTTTTTTTGTTTTTGTGTCTGTGTAAAGCATAACTAGTCTAAATAATGCT